AGCATAAGCACCTGAGTTCAATACCCTGTTCCACAAAAAAAAAAAAAAAAAAAAAAAAAGATTCCTTTAAATTTCTTTATGGATTTTCCTTGAAATAGATTTACAGAAATGAAATTACAGAATAAACTAATTCATTGGCCGGCCTGATAGCTAAGCGGACTAAGCGCCTGCTTCAGCAGAGCGCCTCACCCGGCATGCGTAAGGGCCTGCCCTCTGGGGCACACTGAGGTGGCAGTTGAGACTGGGCATGGTAGTGCGCACCTGTAATCCCAGCATTTGGGAGGCTGACAACAGGAGAATCACTACAAGTCCGATCTATGTAGTGAGACCCTGTAGACCCTGTCCTAGATACAAGAAGAAAAAATAATAATAAAGTAATACAAATATTGTCAGGGCTTTTGCTGTGTATTGCCTATTACTCTTGTAATTGTTTGCTTGTTTTATCTGAGACAGGGTGTCGCCTGAAGTTCAAGCTGGTCTTGAGCTCACTTTGTAGCCCAGGCAGGTCTAGAACTCCCAGTGACCCTCCTGCCTCATCTTCCCTCCGGAGTGCTAGGATTATAGGTGTGCACCACACCTGGCTACTCTTGTTTCTATTGCCTGTTTATTTCTTTGTTTTTGAGACAGGGTCTCGCTCTGTAGTCCAGGCTGCCCTGGAACTCACTATATAGCACAGGTTTGCCTCAAATTTTGGGGGATTCTCCTGCCTCAACCTCCTGAGTGCTGGGATTACAAGCATATACCACAACACCCAGCTCCCTAATTACTCTTTAGAAACAATCTTACTCTCCTGACTCCCACTATATGTGAGTCACTATTCTAAAAGTACTTTTATCAGAAAGGCAGTGTACGTTAAATTTGCTCATTTAATTGGAAGGGAAATTACATCTTAGTTTCATTTTTATTTCTTTGACACTATTGTGAAAAAAGAAAAGAAAATATTGTACATGTTTTAGGAATATATAAATATAGGAATATATAAATATTTGTCCTGTAGCAGTTATTCTGTCTTTTTACTTGGTGGAATTATTGTTTATAGCCAGTAGGCAAAACCGTTACTCTCTTTTGTGATTTTTTTATCTTTTATTCACATCTTTTTTATTAGTACATTTTGGTTATAGAAATAATGGGTTTTATTTTGGCAGATTTGTGCTCCTTTGTGATTTCTTGAGAGAAACTTAAAGTAATCTCATGAGATGAGATGTTTCTGAGAATGCTATAGAACAGGGGAGATTGCCTCACCTTTGTGAAGCCTTTGGGTTCCAAACCAGCCCTGCAGAGACAGAGACAGGATAAAAGTGGAGAAGCCTAGCCAGGGCACTGTGCACAGCTAGTAGCTTTCAGGCCCAAGGTCAGGATGTTCACAAAGGCTCACAGTAGCTTGCTTTTTGGGGTTGGGTACAATACTAGAAATTAAGTCCAGAGCCTTTTGAGTTATAGCTGTTGGTTTGCTTTGTTTTTTGTGTATTTTATTTCATTTTGTTTTAAGTCAGGGTCTCACTCTGTAATTCCCCTGGACTCACTGTGTACCTCAGGCTAGCTTTGAACTCATGGCATTTGTCCCGCCTCAGCCTCCCAAGTACTGGGATTACAGTTGTTCTTCACTAAGCCCAACTTTACAGCAGCTTTGTATGACTTCTTTTTTTTTTTTTAATAATTTTTTTAATTATTTATTTATTTTTATTTATTACATTTATTTATTGTGTGTGTGTGTGGCCAGCTCAGCCCACCAGGGGGCGGGGCTGGCTGGCATGTGGTGCTGGGGGATCGAACCGCGGTCCCTGTGCTTTGCCAAGCTTGTTTCAAGTAGGTGCTTTAGACCACTGAGCCATCTCTCCAGCCCCTGTATGACTTCTTGGCACAGCCTTGAGCTGCCTTCACTGTGATGAGAGAGGAGGAAGGGTAATTCTGTCATTTATTGTGCTGCTAAGCCGTCTGCATTATGGAAATTGACCAAATGCTGAGCTTTAGCAGAAGTGCATGGGACTTGGCAGGATGGTTTCATATCCTCTTTCTAAATCACCAATGTCTTTGCATTTCTATTGAAACATTTTATTTATTTATTTATTTATTTATTTTAACATTTATTTATTTATTGTGTGCGTGTGTGTGTATATGGCCAGCTCAGCCCACCAGGGGGCGGGGCTGGCTGGCATGTGGTGCTGGGGGATCGAACCGCAGTCTCTGTGCTTTGCCAAGCTTGTTCCAAGTAGGTGCTTCAGACCACTGAGCCATCTCGCCAGCTCCTGCATTTCTATTGACTGGTCTGTGTGCCAAGGCTTGTTTACTTGCCTCTTGCAGGGGTGGTTCACACTGTTTTGGTCCACAATGTAAATAACATTGTCCTGAAATCCTCCAGCTTCCCATTCTCTGTCCCTTCTTCAAAAGGAACTAACTGACTTGTTTTTCAGTGGAGGGGGACAAGGAACATTTGCTGTCCACACTGACTTAGAGCATTATAAGAGGAGAAAAAGAGCTTTTTTTTTTTTTTTTTTTTTTTTTTAAAAGCATTGCTTCATTGTTTGTATTCATGTAGAAATTTTTAATTTCCATAAAAGGATCAGTAGAGGGCTGGTAAGATGGCTCAGTAGTCTAAAGCACCTACTTAGAACAAGCTGAGCTAAGCAAAGCACAGGGACCGCGGTTCAATCCCCCAGCACCACATGCCAGCCAGCCCTGCCCACTGGTGGGCTGAGCTGGCCACACACACTAAATAAAATAAATAACCAAATAAAAAAAAAAAGAACTTTAAAACAAAAAAAAGGATCAGTGGAAAAATCACCTCAAAATACAATACAAGAGGGCTGGGGAGATAGCTCAGCAGGACAGTACCAGCCTGGCAAGCACAAGGTCCTGAGTGTGATTTCTAGTACCAGAAAAAAAAAAGAACTCCCAGCTTACATAGAATTTTTCAAAAATAATCCTTTAAAGCTAACAGAAACTGGGCAGGAGATATAGCTCAGCAGCACAATACCTTCCTGGCAGGTACAAGGTCCTGAGTTTAATTCCCATACCAGATAGATAGATAGATAGATAGATAGATAGATAGATAGTAGAAACCATGATTGGTGTAGTCCAAGATTCATAATTTTTCCCTCAGTCTCTGCTGCTGCCTATGCAGTCTGTGTGGTCATGAGTCAGTAGCTAGGCAGCTCTCAGGGCCAACCTGTTTCTGAGAGCACAGTAAAAGTCAAGTTTATAGGCTTATTAATTATCTAACCTCTCAGAGGATGAGGCCTAATTTTTCTAGCCTTGCTTATCTCAGGCCTTCTTCCACCTTGCTACTCAGAAGTACCTTTCTAAGAAATAAAACTCATTGTGTCACTTAAAAAAAAAATTGAGCTGAGCATGGTGGCACACACCTATAACCCAGGACTCAGGAGGCTGAGGCAGGAGGATCAGTGCGAGTTCGAGACCAGCCTGGGCTATAAAGTAAACTCAAGACCAGCTTGAGCAGCAGAGTAAAATCCTGTCTCAAAAGACCAAAAAAAAAAAAAAAAAAAAAAAGATACTCATTTCTAGATGAAAGAATTTTTAACAGGTTAAAATAAAAGAACTTCCTTAACCTAAATAAATAAATAAATAATAAATAGAACTTCCTTAACCTAATAAGGGGAATCTTTAATAAACTTAGAGCGAATATTGTTTTGCAAATGATAAAGAACCTTACTAGAGGGAGAAATTCGCAGATTCAATGCACTACTCCCAGGCTGAAGCTGGCATTTCATTTTCTCCAGAAATGCCAGATCATTTCTCAGTTGATTTCTTTCAGGTCAAGGTGGGAGGCCAGGATTTGGCTTATGCTTGCTTGCACAGGGTTTTGTGGCCCAATATGTTCTAGTTAGGTGTCTCATATTTGGTAACTCTTTCTTCCTAGTTCATTCACTTCTATCCGGAGTGAGCTGATTCCATACCTAGTAAGAAAACAGTTTTCCTCAGCTTCTTCACAACAGGGACAAGAAGAAAAAGAGGAGGATGTAAAGAAAAAGGAACCGAAATCCTTAGGTCAGTACTAAGGGTTGGTGTGCTAAGAGGGGCAGGGATAGGAACAGCTTTGGAAAGACTGAGTGGGCAGTTTAGCCCAGCCCAAGAGGCCTGCCATTTTGTTTCCCTATGGAATGTAATCTTTAATCCTTCTAATGTTTTGTGGAATTCAGTTACAAAGCATTTTTAAAGGATTTTTGCATCTATGTTCATCAAGGATATTAGGCTCTTCTGTGGTTTCCTTATTTTATTGTGTCCTTGTCTGGTTTTGGTATCACAGAATGCCTGTCTTAAGGCAGTGGCCTTTTTTCTAGTCTATGGGACAAGACAAGCTGGTTGAGCCTACTCCTGAGTTCTGGGTAAGCTTACTCAGGCAGATTCCATCGCTGTGCTCTTCAGGGACAGGCTAGGCATGCTTCCAACCCCACTATCTTGTTCATAGCTCTGTCTCTGATCCCTGGTACTTGCAGGCTCTGGGCAGGCCAACTTCTGATTAAACTCAGCCTCTTCTTTCAAGGGAAGGCAGGTGAAGAAGTGTATCATAGTCCAGCCAGAGACCAGCTAAGCTGTCTCCATTCCAGGATCTAGAAATGAGATTGATCTTGCTTGCTGTCATATTCCTAGTCTATGGCCCAGTACTGTGTTTGCATATGCTCTGAAAAAAGTATTTACCAAATGAGTAAAGTGATGGGCCAGGGAGATGGCTCAGTGGAATAAGTGCTTCCCTGGCAAGCGCAAGGGCCTGAGTTCAATCCCCGGTTCCGCAAAAAAAAAAAAGAGTAAAGTGAGACAGTATAGAATAATGGTTAAAATGATAGCACTTGGGCTGTTGTGCCTTTGCTTGTTATAGCCCAACTTGCATCCTCCAGGGTGTTCTTGCTTTTTCCTGACTCTGCAGAGCCAGTTTCTCTCTCTTTACTTTTACTTTTTCAAATAAACTGTGTTTAAAAAAAACAACTATAGGATTTGGCCTCACATAACCTAGGTTTGATTCTGCCTTGTGCTAGTTCTGTGACCTAAGGCGGGTTACTCAAGACTTTTCAATTTTCTTGTCATAAAATAAAAGATCTAAAGGGTTGTTGAAAATGTTTCAAAACTGGAGGCCAGGTACTCTGGCTGCGGGCTGTGTGCTCTGTCTGTCACGGCACAGCTGCCTACTGCAGTAACAGAGACAAACTGCACAGAGCAAGCATGGCTGGTCAGTAACACCTGGGCACCTGCTTGTATTTTTTCATGATTTGCAAGCATCATTTATTTTATTTTCCTTAGCGTTATTTATCCACCAAACCTGCTTTCAAGACCTCTAATTAAGCATTTTGTGTAATACAGGAAAATACACTGACTGCATTTGACTTAGTGTTCCCAATTATAATGGGATGGCCCCAGGGTGGATGCTTCACAGATGAGTTTCAGGGTGAAGTGTTAACTGTATCCTTTTGGAAAACTTGCCTGAGTCTCTATCTTCTCTATCATGTCTGTCTGTGTCTGTCTGTCTGTCTCTCTCTCTCTCTCTCTCTCTCTCTCTTTCTTTCACTTACTTACTTAGTTTGGGTGTTTGTTCTAAAGATATTTACAGTTTTATAAAAGAAGGCAATACTCTGACCTCGGCCCCCTATGACACCTGTTGGAATGCCTGTCGCAGAGATAGATGGGACGACTTGTCCACGTCACGGGTACGCTGCTACGTGCACATCATGAAAGAAGGCCTCTGCTCTAGAGTGAGCACACTGGGACTCTACATGGAAGCAAACAGACAGGTGAGAAGATAGGTTTGGAAAAGAAATCAAGAAACTCCTGCCCTAGAAATGGACTAAGCCTTTTGTATTATTTCTTCCTGAGGTACATATTAGTGTATTTAGAATCTCTCTCATTCCCAAGGCGGAGCATGACTTGGAATGTCAGGGGTGGTCCCTGAAGTATCCTCCTGCGGAAAAAGGGGAAGTAGAGGGCCTGGTCAGAAATCAGAGCTTTTGAGGTTCCAAGGAAAGGCTTAGATCTCCAGAAAGGCTAACTTCCCACCTCTGGCCTCAGCAGCTGTCTCCTGTTCAGCATGGGAATGCTGTATCTACTACTAAATCAACAAGCAGATAAATACAGTGTAATCATTACTTTGTTGAGGGAAACACAGACATAGAAGGCTTCCTTAAGAAAGTAAAGGAGGTCCACTGAGATAGATCAGTGGTCTGAGTGCCTGCCTAGGCAAGCACAAGGATCCAGGTTCTATCCCTGGTACCTAGTACCATATGCCATGCCGGCCCTGCCCCAAGTACACTGAGCCAGCCACCAAGACCAGGAGCAGTGGCACATGCCTGTAATCCTAGCACTGGGGAGGCTGAAACAGGAGTCCAAGCTGTGTAGCCCTGTACCAAATACATAATGTAAAAGGGGGGGGGGGGGCTGGGGAAGTAGCTCAGTGGAATAAGCACTTGCCTGGCAAATATAGCATCCTGAGTTCAATCCCCGGTACCACCAAAAAAAAGAAAGAAAGGAAAGGAAACCAGGTATTGTAGCACTTTAATCTCAGCATTCAGGAAGCTAAGACAGGAGGATTGCTATCTAAAAAAAAATTAAAAAAAAAAGAAGAATTGAGAGGTGGGGGCTATATACCTTTATTCCCAGCATCCTATGGGGCTGAGTTTGAGACCAGCCTGGGCCACATAGAGTTCAAGTACAACCTAGACTACATAGTGAGTCCCCAATTCAAAAAACAAAAGGGGGCTGGTGAGATGGCTCAGTGGTCTAAAGCACCTACTTGAAACAAGCTTGGCAAAACACAGGGACCGTGGTTCGATCCCCCAGCACCACATGCCAGCCAGCCCCGCCCCCTGGTGGGCTGAGCTGGCCACACACAGACACACTAAATAAAAAAAACACACAGACACACTAAATAAATAAATAAATAAATAAATGTTTAAAAAAAAAAACAAAAGGGAAGGGGCCTGGGAGATAGCTCAGTAGAATAAGCACTTGCCTGGCAAGTGCAAGGGCCCGACTTCAATCTCCAGTTCCACAAAAAAAAAAAGTGATGGGAGCAGACAGAGACAGAGGGAGAGTGGCTAGATGGCAATGCCTCAAGCAAGGAATTTTCATGAGACTGTCAGGAATCATACTAGTAAGGGGGTCTTGCCCATCATTCTATCCCTGCAATTTCTGAGATAGAGTTAGTAGCTTCCATTCAGAGAAGTACCCTCCAAGTCAAGCAGGCAGTAAAGGGAGGGGGTAAAATGAGGAACAGTGAAGAGATGGAGGGTGTAGGTGAACTCTTTATTATGTAATGAGTATAGGAGGAGGGTTTATGGATGGAGGAATACTAAGACCAGGAAACAATATAGAGAAGTAGGTAAGATTAGAAAAAGATAATTTAGGGAACTACATTGGGTTCCATTCAAGGATGATAGGAATGAGATGATTAAAACATCAACTAAAAGCATTGTTCTTTGTTGAACTCTAAAAATTGACATGGCAGGTGCAGACTGAGGTAGACAGTGTCTTGGGATGGAGTGAAATTGAGATGTCCCTGAAAAAAACCTGGCTCTGCAATCTTCAGGAGCCTCACAGGAGTGCATATAGCCTCAGCTCCAGACTTCAAGTGGGCCTGAACCTGAATTAGTTATAAATTCAAGGGAATCTCTCAAGCCAGAGAGCTATGAGAAATACAGTTATGTTTACTCAGGACTAGAGTGTGTCAGGCTGGTCTGGAAGCAGGTTTATAGATAGCCCAAGGGGACCCGCCCTTTAACTCAGTTCTTTAAGTGGCTGCTTCAACAAAGCAGTCAGGCTCAGGTTGCTGTGGCTCGATCCCCACAACTGAAGCCAGCCAAACCTGCCCTCAAGGCATTCGGAGCAAAAAAAATCCTTATAGATAGCCCAAGACTGGAAAAGTGTCCTCTGAAGTGCCAGCAGGGTCTGTGGCAGCAGATAACACTGAAGGGCTATGGTTTGTGTCTTAGTTACTTTGCTCATCACTGAGAGTACTTGATACACACAAGGTCAAAGAGGAGAGGTTTATTTACAGTTTGTAGGTTTCAGTCCATAGTCACCTGGTTCCAAGGCAGGATGGCAGAGAGGCATCAGAGAGGAGAAACAGCCCATAGTGTGGCAAGCAGAAGGCAGCAAGAAAGCAGCAGGCCTTCCTTTCCCTTTTATTCCATCCAGGCTACAAGCCTTTTGGGTTGGTGCCATCTACACTCAGCATGGGGCATGTGTCTTCAGTAAATCTGTTCAGCCACACACAGAACTTAGGGGGACATCTAAATATAAGCTACAATAGTTAGAGTATATCAGAAGAGATCCTATCAACAGAGCCTTCAGAATTAGTTTGGGTTTTTTTGGTGTTTTTTTTTTTTTTTTTTTTTTTTTGGCAGAACCGGGGATTGAACTCAGGCCATTGTGCTTGCCAGGCAAGCACTTTTTCTACTGAGCCATCTCCCAGGCCCAAGAATTAGCTTTCATACGCCAGTTTAATCTCCATGTGTTACCATATAATGCTCTGACCAGCGTTCTACCTGTGCTGGAGAATCACAGGGCACACTACTTGTGCCTTTTTAATGGATCAGTAGCCAACCCCCCCCCAATCTTGTCAGTGTTAGTATGACTTTCCCTTCATATTTTCTTTTGGTTGGTGAAAAACATGTATTTCTTACCAAGATCAGTCCTAATGGGGAATTTGTCTAACACTGCTCTATCCTCATTTCATGAATAGCCAATGTAGTTCAGAAACTAAGCAGGAGCCTAGGATGACTGTGCCCAGTACACATGGTATTCCTTCCTTGTCCCCATCAAGCCTGCTTTCCAAAAAAAAAAATGGTGCATGTGTACCTCAAAGGCTTGTCTCCCTACCTGAGGTATCAGACATAACTCTCACAGAAGTGTGCTGTCAGCTAAGAAGTTGATGATAAGGCCAGCTAGAAACTGTTAATGAACAATCCAGGTCCTGGCAGACAACATGCAGCAGCCCACTCTCCCTCACAGAAAGCTGTGCCTGAGAGCTTCCCACAGCTCTACCTAAGGTGTTTTTAGGTATTGTCCTGGTCTTTAGTGACTGAATCTTTTTCTTTAAGGTGCCCAAATTGCTGCCTGTTCTCTGTCCTGAAGAATCACTAATCCATTCATCAGCACAGATTTCCAGCAAACACCTGGTAAGTGTTAGCCTGAGCAGGGCTATCATAGTACACTTTCTGGAGAACACTGAGATTTATCCTCGAGCACTGTACCTCCTTAGCCCTAGAGAAATCCCTTCTGGGTCTAGTAATAAAATCTCACGTAAGACTTTCTGGGAAGACACTGCTCCTATAAGAAAGGATTCATATAATTTTGGGCTGAGGCACAGGAGTGTTCAGTCTCTGTCCTTCCACCCTGATTTGAGGACTATCTTCAAAAGAATATATCTGTACAACGTAGTGCATAACTGATAACATGTGTCCATTTTGTTTTATTTTCCTTGTTTTCTTGGCCAGGGAAACCCATGCTTTACTGTAGGTTTGAGTTGATCTCAGGGGTGGTGTGAAATTTTAGCCTAAGAAGTGTTAATGATGGTCCTTTCTGGTGAAATGTCTTTATGGAAAGATTCCATCAGACCCCAGCTCAAAAGAATCTGGAGAACATTTACAGTTTTTGGGGATGTATAGACAAGGTTTTCTACTTGCCTTTTGCAGGTTGGAATTGACAGTCTCATTGGACCAGATACACAGGTTGGAGAAAAGTCATCAGTTAAGCACTCGGTCATTGGTTCCTCTTGTCTCATAGGAGATAGGGTGACTGTTACCAACTGCCTTCTCATGAACTCAGTCACTGTGGAAGAAGGGTATGTTTCTCCCTCCTCATGCTGTCTTCGGGGTTTTTTTTTTGTTTTGTTTTGTTTTGTTTTCAGAACCAGGGATTGAACGCAGATCCTTGCGCTTGCCAGGGAAGCACTTATTCTACTAAGCCATCTCCCCGGCTCCCCTCCTCATGCTCTCTCTTCATGCTACTCCCTAGGAGGTTTGGAGGCCAGTCCAGCTCAAGAAAATGTTCACCTTGGGGAGGAGAAGAGAGAGAGAAAGGGAAAAAAGGAGTAGTGCCTAGGCCCCTTGAGGTTGTAGTTTTGCCCCCATAATAACATGTTCTTTCAAAGCATTTCTAGCACTCTCCTCATACTTATGATACTCATAGTCCTAGGAGAAGCTGCCCTCTTCCCTCAGCATCCTACTTGATGAGGATGGCCAAGGTAGGGAGCCTTTTGCAGTGCTGGAATGACACTATACCAATGCCTAAGTGTTATCTTCTCCTGTTTCAGTACCCCAGAGCAGCCCCAAACAAGGCAGAGGGCCTAGGAAGGGTGGGTATATGAGCTACACTCTGCTTTTGAGGGCAAGCTTCTCTACAAGTTGTAGAGTCTTCCCTTTTTTTTTGAGATGAAGGCTTCGGTATGTTGCCCAGACAGTTCTTTAGCCCCTCCCAATAGCCAACTACTATTGTGAGCTCCACATCCAGCTATGGGAGAAACTATTTATTTATTTAGTTATATTTTTTAGTAAGGGTCTACAGGGTCTCACTATGAAGATCGGACTCATAGTGATCTACTTGTGTTCAGCCTTCCAAAGAGCTGGGATTACAGGTACACACCACCATGTCCAGTCTCAGTCACCATCTCAGCATGCCTCCTGGACTGGGCAGGGATGGCAGGCTGAGGATCAAACCCTGGCCACTGCACCTACCTAAGGGAGAAACTTTAGAGAGGAGCTACCTTTACTGTTTATGAAGAGTGAGTAGTAGAAGACAACAGACAATTGAAGAAAGGAAGTATCATAATAGAAACCAGGAAAGTTGATGAATAAATGGATATTGGCCACTGCACTCTGTCCTCACCTCAGCCCACTTTACTGACCTGGCATAATCTTCTTGAGTTTAGAAAAGCTTTCTCAAGCCAGGGATATAGCTCAGCAGCACAAGCGCCTGCCTGGCAGGTGCAAGGTCCTGAGTTAATTTCCCAGTACCACACCCCCTGCCCCCGAAAAAGAGAAAAGCCTTCTTGGCCAGGTGTGGTGTGGCAGCGCATAGGGTGTGCGCACCTTATGATCTCAGCACTCAGGAAGCGGAGGCAGGAGGATTGTTGGGAGTTCAAGACAAGCCTGGGCTACAAAGTAAGCTCAAGGCCAGCCTGAGCTGTATAGAGACCCTGTTTCAAAAAAGACAAAACAAAAAAAGCCTTTTCTGATATCTGACCACCCAGAAAGAAAAACCAAATTTATTTACATTAAAAATTTCTCAGAGCTGGGAAGATAGCTCAGTAGAATAAACGCTTGCCTGGCAAGCGCAAGAGCCTGAGTTCAATCCCAGTTCTGGAAAAAAAAAAAAAAAAATCTGTATAACTGACTACAGTTGGATCATGCTGTACCAAAGTTTATGAGTGACATATTCCATTCTTGTGCTTAGATCTTCTACTCAGTTCTTTTAAATTTCACTCCTAAATATGAAGATATAACTAAGGATTGCCAGAAATCTAAAGAAAAGTCTCTGTCATGGAAAGTAGAAATCAAATCAAGTACAGGTGGTCCCAAATTTACATAGTTCAACTTGGGATTGTTTTACTTTATGATAGTATAAAAGCAGTACCCCTGGGGGCTAGGGATATAACTCAGCAGCACACCGCCTACCTGGCAAGCACAAAGTCCTAAGTTTGATTCCTAGCACCAAAAAAATAAATAAAGTAATACCTACTGAGTACAAAATACACTGAACTTTGAAGTTCAAATCTTTTAAATCTTCATCTTTTCTCAGGCTAGCAATATGCAGTAAAATGATAATGTTCTTTTTTGATGCTGGCATTGGCAGCAAGCTGCAGTTGCCAGTCAGCCATGTGATCACCAGTGTAAACAACCCTTACTTTGTAGTGTACTGGCCTGCCAAGCTGTGATGTTTGGTAGGGAAGGTTTATTAAATGTTTTTTTTTTCACTTAGGCTATTTTTTTTTTTTTTTTTTAGGATACGTTTTTTGTTTGTTGATTGGTTTGGGTTTTGTTTGTTGTTTTTTGCTGTACCAGAAATTGGATTCAGGACTTTGTACCTAACAGGCAGTCGCTTATGCTGCTGAGCTTTCTCCCTGGCCCTGTTTTGTTCTTTGAGACAAGGTCCTAATACATAGTTCAGGCTGGCCTTGAACTCTCAGCAATCGTCCTGCCTCAGCTTCCTGGAATTATAGTCATATGCCACCATGCCCAGCTTAGGATATTGTTAATTTACCACGAGCTTATCGGTTTACATACTCCCATTATAAGTCAAGAAGCATTAGTAGGAAAAGCAATTTAGGAGCAATCAACTCTGTAGGGAAAGGAAAGAACTTTTAAACAGCCTGTTAGTATTAGGTATATAGCTCTTGCCTACCATGCACAAGACATAGGATTTGATCTCCAGCACTACAAGAACATAAAACCAAAAAGCTCTATCATTTAAAAGAATTAAAAAAAAAAAAACCTCTGAGCAATAAAAATATAACAAAGGAAAAAATGTAAGAACAAAATATAGGCCAGGCATGTCTGTAGTCCCAGTACTTTGGGAAGATGAGGCAGGAGGACTATAAATGCAAGCCCAGTGTAGGCAATTTAGTAAGACACTATTTCAAAATACAAAAAGTTAAAGACTGAGAATGTAGCTCAGTATGAATGTCTAGGGTTCAATCCCCCATACCACCAAAAGAAAGTTTGAGAACATAGATACATTGACTGATTTGATCATTGCACATGTGTACATGGTGTGGTGGCACATACCTGTAAACCCCCAGTTCTGGGAGGCTGAGGCAAGAGGACCCAAGTTTGAGACCAGCCTGGGAAATTTAGCAATTTAGCAGGATCCTATCTCAAAAATAAAAAGTATAAAAAGTGCTAGGAATTTAAGAGGAGTTTTTTCGGGTTTTTTGTTTTGTTTTTGTTTTTGTGCAGGGTCTCATTATGCAGCTCGGACTCGTAGTGATCCTCCTGATTTCTGCCTCCCAAGCACTGGAATTACAGGCATGCACCACCACACCTGCACTCCATCACTGACTCAGTGTACCCGGGGTGGGGCCAGCGTGGCATGCAGTGCCAGGGATCAAACCCTGGCCCCAGCACTTACCTAAGCAAGTGCTTAGTCTACTGAGCTGTACCGCCAGCCCTAACAGTGCTAGGGATTTAGTTCAGGGCAAATACTGAGTTTAATCTCCAGTACTGAAGAAAAAAAAAAAAAAAAAAATTAAAGGGTACCCCATTAATATGTACAATTGTTATACTTTTTTTTTTAAGATGGGGTCTTGCTGTGCAGCTCTGGCTGGCCTTGAGCTCACTTTGTAGCACTGGCTGGTCTTGAATTCACAATGATCCTCCTAGCTCAGCTACCTGAGTGCTAGGATTACAGGCGTGCACCACCATGCCCAGCTTGTTACACTTTTTTTTTTCTTTTTTTTTTTTTTAATTTATTTTTTATTTTTCAACAAATACACTGCATATGTTCTTCTTAGTGGTTAATTGCTGTACAAGATGCGGACTTGTGATCCTATTTACAAACACCATTAGAACAAATCATTCTATTCATTAACAGAATGTAACTATATATCTATCCCAACCACTTTGAATACACAGATACAAAATGGACATTCATCTGTATACCCCATTTTTTCTAAGTTCCATTATTGAATATTATAGGTGTGTAAACTCAGCAAAATATTCTAAAAGAGTCCAGTAGCCCATAATAGCATTGGGTCTTGTTACACTTTATATATCGATTTTTTTTTTTTTCGGAACCGGGTATTGAACTCAGGTCCTTGCGCTTGCCAGAGAAGCACTTATTCCACTGAGAAAAATACATGTCTTCCTGATACTTTGTTCAGTTTAGGTGTTGTGAATCTAGGATTTTTTTTCATTTTGATAAAATAATTGTGTGCATGGTACACTATATGATAACAGTTTTTTGAGACAGGGTCTCACTGCATAGTGGTCATACTGACCTTCAACTCACAGTGTAGCCCAGGCTGGCCTCGAACATGTAGCAATCCTTCTGCCTCAGTTTCCCCAATGCTGGGGTTATAGTTGTGCACCACCACATACAGCTAACATTGTTAATAGAAGTACATTGTTGTAATTTTACCCATATCCTGAAGACAAAATAGATGCATGCCAAAAAATTTCAAAAAAGTAATTTTAGCTGGTCATGGTAGCACAGTACTCAGAAGGCTGAGGGTAGAGGAGTGCCACAAGTTAGAGGCCAGTTAAGACCAGTCTGAATTACAGAACAAGAGTCTGTCTCAAAAAAAGAAAAGAATTTAAAAAAATAATAATAATTTTACTTTATCAGTCTTAATAAGAACTGTTGTACTTCTAAATTGAGATCATTAAGTTAGGATTCACATTGGTTTGTAGCTCACAAGTTCGAGGCCAGCCTGGGCAATTTAGAGATTCCTTGTCTCACAAAGCAATACAGAACAACAGATGTCTGATTTCATCCCTGTTCTAAACTTTCAAAGCCCTCCCACCCATGACATTTAGAATAAAATTGGAACTGCAAGGTTTCACATAAACCTTATTGACCATTTAGAGAGCTTTGAGCCCTTAGATTTCATCTAGCTCAGCTCCTTGCGTTTTCACAGATGAATACATTGTGGCATCCAGACATTTCTCTTATTGCATCCCTGCTACTCCATGCCCTCTTCCAGACTCCTACATGAGACTAGTACATATCCCCATTCTGTTAGAAACTGGAGCTACACTTACCTTTATCCATTTGATCATCTAGTTCCAGAATTACTCATGAGGCTTTGGAGCTCTCACTCTTTTCTCTCGTCTTGCCTCAGACCTT